GCATTTTACATCCCACCCTGCAATGTGCATCTTTGGCTTTGCACACACAGCTGTCCCTGCTCAGGGGTCTGCCTTCTGCTTTAGTGGGAGCACCAGATGGGCAGGGACTGCACATCTACCCGCACATCTCAAGCAAAATCTTGCTCTGATTTAGATTTGGTAAAACTGTGTCAAGTTACCTTCAGAGCCTTGATAGAGATGTGATATTATAATTATTGTCATGTATTTGTTAACTTGAGGGCTTTTTGAGACAGAATTGAGGCAACGCAAAACAAGATGGAGCTTCACCTGATACAGCTGCAATCTGTTGCTGCCTTCCACGCTCCACCTGCGCCCCACAAACCACCCAACACAGAGGTTTTCTGCTATGAATCCCTTCACCAGGAGATGGTGCTCCTGTCCCGGCAGTCAGCTCTGCTGCAAGCCGGACCCTTCCCGCTGCTCCCGGCTTGGTGATGGTGCTCGGTCCCTTGCAGCAACCCAGAAGCAGATGAAGCAGGGGGTGGCATGTATGTGTGCCCCCTGTTTGCCCCCGCTGCCCCCCACATCTCATCAGTGTCCCCAGCATGACTGGTATGGGACCAGAGCTCCCACCTGTTCATACCTCACACCTCATGCTGTTAGCTGTGCTTAGAAGGGATGGATCCACCTGTTGATTACTGCCCGAAGGGATATTCCCAACAAGGAGAGAATATCCCCTACTTACAGGGGACAGACTTGCTTTGCCAGATCCCTGTCATATAGAGAATTATTGGGTTGACCTTACGGACTTCAGTTGATGTAGCTCCACTGGGCTGATCTATAGCTGAAAATATGAGCGTTGAATTGAATATGAGAGCAAAACTCATGTTTGACAAGGAATAAACAATACCAAGGTATGGGAAGGTAACTGAAAGGGAAAATATCTCCCAGCTGGGTTCCTTGGTTAGCGCTGTAGGAACCACCTTTGGAGGTCTCGCTCCCCTTCCAAAAGATAAGAATCATAGACTGGCCTGAGTTGAAAAGGACCACATTGATCATCTAGTTTGAACACCATCCCCCCCCCTCCCCCCCGCTATGTGCAGAATCGGCAGCCACTGCCCAGAGCCACATCCAGCCTGGCCTTGAACACCTCCAGGGATGGGGCATCCACAACATCCTTGGGCAACCCTTCCAAAGGGCTTTATTTTTCCAGAGATGGCTGAACTCTTTGCAAAGTATTTCTCTAAATCTCCTGGCCCTTAGCTAGAACATAGTGGTCAAATAAAAAGTGGTGGACATTCAACTCAGAGCTGTGTGTGCTCTCTGGGCCCGAAGCAAAACATCCTACAGGACTTTGGATCCATCTGATGTTGCATGCATTGACTTTGTACCTTAATTTGTCTTACCTTCCCTGGCTATCCCTGTACAGACAATCAGAAAAAAATCAGCTTGGCTTCAGTTTTGGTAAGTTTTGGAAAGACTTGCTGGGAACATGGTTAGTGGGCATGGTGGTGATGGGTTGATGGTTGGACAAGATGATCCTAGACGTCTCTTCCAACCTGAGTGATTCTATGATAAGATTTGGAAAGAAAATGATGCTGTTCTTGGTTACTTGCTGAGCTGGCCCTGCTGTCACTTGTAGCCATCTCAATAGAAGAAGTTTGCTCAGTGAAGCCCCAAGAGACTTCTTGTGTGGTCACCACATGAGAACATATTCTTCCAAATAACCACAAGCATTACACATCGTGACCACTGCAAACTTGCTCAAGACTTGAAAATTTGGTGGAGCCCCGCTGACTTGGCTGATGGAAACAGCCACAAACACCCCAGCTTTGAGGCCTGGGGGAAGTTGTCACTACAGTTCGATTTTGTTCCATCAAGCAGTGCTGATGAAGGGGAAGGTGAACAGCTATGGAGACAGAGGACTCAGGGAGCATGGCTATGGCACTGGGTTCATGGTCATTCTTTGAGGATCTCTTTTCTGCCTCATTTTCCTCCTTTGGGACCTGCTGGGGTGCTCTGTTCTGATTATGTCACATAACTCCTTCTTCCCTATGGTCAGGAGCACCTCCAGAGGGGCCCTTTGTGCTGGATGAGTCCCAGGCTGGCACCTTGCCCACAGGTGAAAAAGAGGATGGCAGGGGAGAGCCCACCCTACCTGGGACTCAGCCCTCCATAGAAACATCTGGGGTTTTGCTCCACGTGTAAAGGTACCCTTCCTTCCAAAAACCCATCTAGAACTGTGCTGTGGAGAGGCTGTGGTGATCCCTGGTACACAAGCACTGGCATGCCTTACTGGAGACAGGTTCTTTAGGTTCTCTCTTATACTAGAGACAGGTTCTTGGGGAAAGAGAGAAACAGATGGGGCCCTTTAGCTTCACCTTAGGTTCTAGACTTCTGGTTCATTCAGTATAGAATCATAGAATCCTTAAGGTTGGAAAACACCACTAAGATCATCGAGTCCAACTATCCACCCATTCCCACCATAGCCAGTGATCATGTCCCTCAGTGCCACATCTCCACCACATCTCCACATCTCCACCTGCAGAGACAATGCCTCCACCACCCCCCTGGACAGTTTGTCAGTTCATGCTGGAGTTACCAGGAGGATTTGTAGGAGTAGGGAGAGAGCAGGGAATGGGTCTCACCATGCTGGTGGTGGGCCACCGTGGGCAATGGGGAGTGCCCTTGAGAGGAACAAGCCTCTTCGCTGGTGAAGTCAAATGGACATAAAATCTCTCGTGGTTATATGGGTGTTTTTTCTGTATAAACTTGCTAATTGAGTTGTAAAATAAAACTACAGCCTTTCCTCTCCAATTTCTGCTGCTGCAGCCGTGTGCTAATTTGGTTTTGGAAGGGGGCTGGTAGAAGGTGGCCCTTTGCCAGAGTGAAGTTATGCACAGAAGGGTTTGCACTGGGAGAGCTGGGAGTGTGTGCTCTGAGCAGGGCAGGAGTTGGGGTGGTTCAGGCAGCTTCTGCAGCTGGGCTGGGCCGATGGAAATTGAAGAAAACCCAAAAGGGTTTGGATAAAGCTGCAATGGAGAACAGATGGGAAACTCCAGCACCTCCATGGATGCTGGGCAGTGGAGAGGGTGGGCTGTGGGATTGCACAGCCAGGCAGGATTTGCTGTGTGCACACGTGCCTGTGGGGTCATGTGCTGATGTGGGTGTGTGTGCCTGTTGTGTGAATGTGTGCCCCAGTGAATGTGGCACTGTGCGGTGCTGCTCTGGGGCTGGAAAACTGGAGAAAAAGAAAACTCGGGTGCTCTGTTGTGTCCGTATCATTTTAATTTTTAGCAGATAGACTGAAAAAATGCAATGGCAGATCTGAGCGCCCTGAATTTGGAGGAGCCTGGAGTTCCTTGTGTGTGGAATCATTGGAAGGGACCTCTTAGAGTGGGAAGGGACCTCTAAAGGCCATGTAGTCCAACTCCTGCAGTGGACAGGGACACCTGCTCCATCAGGTTGCTCAGAGCCTCATCCAGCCTGACCTTGAATTAATGTGTGCCTCCATTGACACCATTTTTCACCTTTCACCATTCTCTGTGAAACTGTCTGCTCTGGAGGAATCCAGGAAGGAGGCTCCAACACCATTGCACTGAGCCCAAAAGTTCAAAGATGGACTTCTGAAGCTCATTACATCCTTCCCCTGGCCCTTTCATTCCTTTCCTATCGGGAAGAGAGCGCATGAGAAACTGGGAGCTCCACCTGGGGCACAGCCCATCGGGCAATTCTTTACTCAAAGAGAGGGGAGGCACTGACACAGCTGCCCAGAGTGGCTGTGGGTGCCCCATCCCTGATGGCATTCAGTGCTGGGTGGGATGGGGCTCTGGGCAGCCCAGTCTGGAGGGGGGCTATCAGCCCACAACAGAGGGCTGGGTGATCTTTAAGTTCCCTTCCAACCCAAGCTACTCTGTGATTCTATGGTGCCACTGGTGGAGGTGGGACCGGGACAGCATGGGTCTCTTCTGCCTTTCCCCATTGGGGAATGTCTGCTCTGAGCGTTCAGCCTCTGTGGGATGGTGATGTTGGTTGGCATTAGGAACCCACGGGCTGACAGAGCACCTGCAGGATGACAGCAGGAAGAAACGTGAGGGGCTGCAGTGATAAATGCTTGTGAGAAGAGTTTGGCTTTTTTTTTGGGGGCGGCGGCCGCAAGGGAAAAGGAAAAAAAAAAAAAAAAAAGCCGTGTTTGTTTTGGCCAAACGTTTACATTCCTTCCAATAAATCATCGCGGCACTTGTTTTTGTATTTGCGGAGAAATCGCAACAGACATAAGCAGGGACTTAAGAGACTTGAAATAACATCCCGGTAAATACCCAAGTTGTTATTTTAATCGAGGCCCGAGGAAACATCTGAATTTTACCAAGGAAACCCTCCTTGGTGCGGGGGGAAACATCACCTCGCGCCCGCCCGGGGCTTTGTTCCACCGCGGGGCGGAATTACCGCTCGGAGTCCGCTCCTCGGGGCCGCCCCATCGCCCCAGACGGAGGGGGGGGGGGG